AAATGCCAGCCTGTGCAGTGAAACAAGGAAAACCAAATTCATAAAGATCGGAAAGAAGTAAAACTACCCCTGTTGGCAGATAGCTTGAATGTATACATAGGAAATCCCAATGAACCAACAAGTAGAAATTGTAAAAATGTGGAGTTAGCAAGGTCACCGATATAAGGCCAATATGCAAAAATCAATGGTACTTCTATAAATTAGCAACAAATATGGAAACAACTGGAAAACTCAAAAGCCAAATTATTCATAATAACATCAAAAACAAAACAGTTAGATTTAAAGAATGACATGCAAGACCTCTTGAGAACCACAAAATCTCTCTTAGTGAAAGTAGAGGCCTAAATGAATATCCTTTGTTTCTGGATTGGAAAACCCGTATGGTTAAGGTGTCAATTCTCCAAAAATTGATCGAAAAATTCAAAGCTATTCCAATTATAACCCCGGTAGACTTTTATAGAAGTTGACTGTTTTTAAATTCGTGTCTGGAAGTACAAAGAACCTAAGGGGTCAGAATAATCTTGAAAAAAAAAAAGGAAAGAATGCCGGAAGATTTTAGTAGGTATATTCATAATAACCAGAAATCAGAAACAACCTAAAAAGCACCCAACAAGGGAATGGATGAAAAGAAAGGATGAGTGTGTAGTTGGCCATACAATGGGATATCACTCAGCAATAAAAACGAGCCTACCGTGTCGGTGGGTGATAGAAAAACAATCCACAAGGCTGGTTTCCTGGAGCGGGTGGGCTTACCTGGGAAGGGGCAGGAGAGAGCTTCATGGGGGTGGTGAAAAGTCTGTATCTTCATGAGGATGCAGGTTAATGAATGTATCGCTCGTCAACCATGTACAGTTAAGATTTGTGTGTCTCAAAGTATGTACCTTTTACCTGAGAGGGAAGTCGTGGGGAGAAGGGGGTGTAGGTGATGGATGTGGAAGCCGGATCATAGGTGAATGGGGCTCGTCGTGCTATTCTGCTCACTTTATAGACGTTTGAAATTGTCCATAAGAAAACATTGACTTGTAGCATAAAAAGACGCAAGATCAAACATTCTAATCAGGTCTCATTTTAAATTCAAAGCTTAATGTGCTTGTTGCAAAATGTTTTTATTCTCAAAGTCGCTGTTCTGTATCTGGTGAGCTGAGCTGAGTGTCTTTGGGTTTTCATCTCTGAGCGTGTCCTCCGGTTGGGGAACGGTCGCTCTCCTTTGCCAGGAACCTCCGAACCGAGGTGGTGTCTGGAAATGATTTGGGAGGTAATCTTCTTAAAGATTTTTTTAAACCTCGGTGTTTCCTGACCTCTCTCTCAGAGGCAGTAGCAATCTCTCCCCTGCGTTTGTTAAGCGGGGTGGTGAGTGCAAGGCTGCAAACGTGACCAAGAGTCACCAGCTGTAGAGAGGAAGAGGGGCAGGGAGCTTCCAGGGGCTTCTAGGTCCTTTTTAAGGAAAAATACTCTATAAGCCTGTAAAGATGATGCTGAAAAAAATAAAATCAGCTTAAAAGTAAATACATCTTTCAATTTCCCACCCCTCAAAATAATCTGGCAAGAAAAATGGGGGAAAGGTGGGCTGCAGGGGTCACCACCAGAGTGGCGCTATCAGCGGCAGAGGATGCCGGTCGGTTGGTCAGGCTGGAGACTGTCGTCCCTCCCTTCCCGCTGTGCCAGGCACTCCCCCCAAGGCACCTCAGTCATTAGCCGGGGGTGGTGTGGATCTGGCCAGTCGTGCTTGGGGCCCGCTGGGACCACGTGCTCGAGAAGGCTGGGGGGGCGCCTGCCTGCAGCCCGCTCCCCTCCGGGCCCGCCCCCTGCCCGCCCCCTGCCTACCAGGTTTCTGACTTCAGTAAATGGTTTCATCCTTGACCTCTTCTATGTAATTGGTGAATTTTAAATGGGCACCATATGTTCCTTTTTGCAACCTCAGGAAAGGTTCTGTGAGCTTACAGTATTAACACAACCTACCATTGTATTGACTCATTTTACTTTTTAACTAAAAAGGCCTTCCCTTGGATTGTTTACTCATGTAGTGCTATTTCCAGATTGAACCCTAACATTGCTGTAGTTCAGTAAGTCAAAGATAGCCCGATGATGTTGGTAGTAATAATATCTTGATATTGTCGATGGTAATATTTTTTGTAGAGGTTTTTTTTTAAAGATTATATTTATTTATTCATGAGAGACACAAAAAGAGGCAGAGACACAGGCAGAGGGAGAAGCAGGCTCCATGCAGGGAGCCCGACGTGGGACTGGATCCCGGGTCTCCGGGATCACACCCTGAGCCGAAGGCAGCACTAAACCACTGAGCCACTCGGGCTGCCCTTTTTGTAGAGGTTTTAACATTTTCTGAATGCTGGTATATCCATCCAAATGCTGATATGTTGTTTAGGGAATTTACCAGTGAAACACTGTGTGCTTTGTATATCAAACACCTTTTTTTTTAAAGATTTATTTATTTATTTTTAAAGATTTTATTTATTCATGAGAGACAGAGAGGCAGAGACACAGGCAGAGTGAGAAGCAGGCTTTCTGTAGGGAGCCCAATGTGGGACTCGATCCCGGGTCTCCAGGATCACACCCTGGGCTGAAGGCAGGCACTAAACCGCTGAGCCACCCGGGTGCCCTATTTATTTATTTTAGAGCAAGCAAGGAGAGAAGCAGAGGGAGAGAGACAATCTCAAGCAGACTCCCTGCTGAGCACAGAGCCCTACATGCGGCTCCATCTCATGACCCTGAGATCATGACCTGAGCCGAAACCGAGAGTTGGCTGCCTAACCAGCTGAGCCACCCAGGCGCCCCTATCAAACAACCATTCTTAAAGATCAGTTTATGGAGGAGAAAAGAACGGAGCTTTGAAAAACAACCAGGAAATTAGAAAACGCCTGAAAAACTTCAGGACAACCCGCGCCTGCCACAGCCACCAGGGCCAGCCCGCTCTACTGGAGATGTGAGCCCTTCTACCAACTTGACCTGGGACAGGGAACAGCCCTGACCCTTGACCTTGGGCAGAGAGACGCAGAGCAACCAGAGTCGGTGGCAGGTGGCCGAATGCTGTGCAGTGAGCCAGCCTCTTCACCGATTCTGTGATCTTTGGAAACAACCTGTCAGGCGCTACAGGAGGGGCAACCAGTCCAAACTCCCCCCTTCTCTGTGACCTGCCTGGGTGTGGACTTTGCTAGGCACAGGGTGTTGAGGGGGGCCTATTGGTGGTTCCCAGCTGTAGGCAAGGCAGCCTTCTTGCTCGGGACAGAGCTCCTCACCCTGGCATGAGGGAGACGGGCCAGCCTGGGAGGCACTGGGGGTTAGGGCCAGGGGCTGTGCCCGCAGCTCAGACTGAAGGGATGCTGGGCCTACGGGGCAGCGCCTGCCCACAGCTGATGCCAACGTGCTGGGAATACACCAGGGATCCCCTTCCAGCCTGTGGGATGGCCCGGGCAGGAGAGCAAAGGGCGGGCTTAGCTGGGTGAGCTGCCCCAGCAAGTAGGCACCGTGCGCTGGGAGAGAGTGTTCACCTTCAGAGTTTCTGCTCTGCCATTTGTCTTCACAGAAGTATAAGCTGCTTTAATTATTTTTGAGGACAGATCAAACTTATTTCACAAAGAACTAGCTCAGGAGTAGCACAGGTCCCCTAGAGAGAGCTCCAGCTCCTCCTCTCCAGCAGAGCTGCTTGTTTATTATTTTTGCCATGATTCCTACTGTTTCTCTTTATTAATGCAACGCAGAACTTTCTTCATGGAAAGCGAGAGGGCCTTAAGCCTATGTCAGTTCTGTTGTTTATTTGTTAAAAGAAAGAAAAATGCAGAGTCGTCCCCAAAATGCTGGAAGACCCAGCTGCTCTCTGCGTGGGGAGGCCTGGGGACGGTTCGGGAGCCCAGGCTACCTCCCACTGAATGCAGGCACAGCCATTCTAGATGAGACAGGCTGCATCCAGGGCCTCAGATGCAAAGAGTGGACGCCCTGGGGCTGACCGGATGGACGCTGGAGTACTGTGAGGTGCATGGGGCCAGGCAGCAGGGTGTCCTGGGAAGGCTAGCCATTCCCTGTGTGCAGGTGACTTGTGGGGGGCTGGGTTGGGTGGTGTGAGGGGCGGGCAGGGAGCCCTAGCTCAAGGCTGGAGGAGAGGGTTTCCTCCCAAGCCCCCCGGGGGGGTGGTCGGCAGGTGTACATCAGGGGTGGGAGACCCCACCTACGGCCTATGATGATAGGGTCTGAGAGACCTGGGGTAGTTCCCAGAGGCTCTGCCTATCAGTTAATGCGTTTTGAAAATGTGTACCCTGTGTCACTAACATCCAATCAAGGTACAGAACTTTCCTTATGGATATCTGCACACCCATGTTCATAGCAGCATTATTCACAGTGGCCAAAAGGTGGAAACAACCTCAAATGCCCATCGATGGACAAATGAATGAATAAACAAAATGCGGCACATCCACCCCATGGATACCAGTTGGCCTGAAAAAAAGGAACCAAGTCCGGGCAGCAGCTGCAACGTGGACAAATTCTGAAGACGTTATGGAGTAAGCCGGACACAGGAGTTCAGTGCGGCTGGATTCCGCTTACACGGTGCCCGGAACAGTCAGGTTCACAGAGAGACCAGGAGCCGGAGAGGGATGACGAGGGAGTGTGTCATGGGTGTGGGTGCGGTTCAGTCATTTGGGTTCCAGAGATGAGCCGCGGTGATGGTTGCAGGACCTTGTGAATGTACTTGATGCCACTGAACTGTATCGTAAAATGGCAACTGTTTATGTACAAACAGGCATATATAATGTGTGACATATAATATGTAACATACATGATAGTATGTGTATATGTATGATGTACATATTCAAACATTTTTAAAAGATCGAGACTTTTTCCGTCACTTCAGAAACTCCCCACCTGCCCCCTTCCTAGTGATCCCCGCCCCATGGGAATTTCTGCTCTGCCTCTGGCTGTGGACTGGTTCTCCCATCAGCTTCCTGGGGGTGGAGCACACATTATGCCCTGTTTATTTTTTTTTTTTTAAGATTTTATGTAGGAGAGAGAAGTAGAAGAAGCAGACCCCCCTACTGAGCAGGGAGCCCGATGTGGGCCTCAATCTCAGGACCCTGAGATCATGACCTGAGCCGAAGGCAGACGACGCCACCCATGCCCCGCGCTGTGCGCTGGTTAGTATCTGGCTGCTTCACTCAGCACAATGGTTGACACTTAGCCACGTTGTCGCCCGCCTCCAAAGTTCATTTTCTATTGCGGATTAATATTCCATCGTGAGAATGTACCACTCTTTGTTCATTCGTTATTTTGTTGACGGACAGGAGTTTCCAGCTTTTATAAATCTGCTGTGAACATTCTCGTTCAAGTCCTTTGCGGGCATGTGCTTATCTTATATGGTTGCTGGGTAGATGCACATTTATCTCTATAGACGCATTCAGTTTTCCAAAGTGGTTGAACCATTTTTTACAAACCCGTCAGAAATATATACAGCATTTAGCGTTGTTGCCGTGTTTAATTTGACCCCTAATGGTTGTGAAGTGAAATCTTGGTGGCTTTATTGCTTTATTCTGCATTTCCTGGATGACTCATGGTATTGAGCTCGTCCTTGTGTTTCCTGGCTGTTTTATGTCTTCTCGGTAATGTGGCTGTTTGCTTCCTTCTCATTTTTTACATTTGTCACCCCGATATGGAGTTGTAGGAGTTCTTCATATATTCTAGAAGCAATTCCTCTGAGAAATATTTTCTCCCAGTCTGGCTGGCCTTTACATTTTCTTAGTGGTGATTATTACTATTATTTTAGGCAATAAGAGACTTGTTAAGGGGTATTAAGTAGCTTCAGAGTCTTTGGTGGAAGGAAGTTCACAGCTGAGTGCCTGGGCACAGCTCTCAGACACAAACAACAGATTGGCGGAGGAGGTGCCCCTGCCCTTCCTGCCTCCAGAGCCACACTGCTTGTGCTGTGCTCAAGAAGACACCACTGACCTCTTCCATGTTTTTAAACTTCCTATATAATTTTAGGCTTAAAAGAGAGTTGCAGGGATGGCTCAGTCACTTAGGCATCCAACTCTTGTTTTTGGCTCAGATTGTGATCTCAGGGTCGTGGGATTGAGCCCTACGTGGGGCCATGCACCCACCATGGTGTCTGCTTGAGATTCTCTCTCGTTCCCTGCGTGCTCTCTCGCTCACTTGCTCTCTCATAAATAAATAAAAATAAATTTAAAATAAATAAATACATCTTTAAAAAGAGAGATATGTGAACATATTAAAAAGTGTCCCCATATGCCATGGGCCCAGCTTCTCAGCATCTTAGGTTGTAGCACTACAATGTGCTTAGTTTATGAAATAAACTAAGAAACTAACAGTGGTAAATACTATTAATTAGGGACTTCACTCAGATTTCTCCACTAACATTCATGTTCCAGGATCCAATCCAAGACACCCTGTGGCATTTGGTTGCCACACCTCTGTAGTCCCCTCCAACTTGTGATGGCTTCTCATACTGCCTGACCTTGGCTCATTAACATTTTTAGTTTGTCTTTGAATCTCACAACCTTAAAAGCTTCACCAACTAGTTTTAGCAGTTTTCCATTAGATTTAGGATTTTTCTCTGCATCTGTATTGGCTGTGGAGAGAAGTTTAACTTTTTCCTCTCCCATTTTTTTTTATACCCTTCATTTCTTTTTCTTGCCTTATTTCACTGGCTATGACCTCCAGTTGGTGTGGAATAGAAGTGGAAAGAAGGCATTCTTGCCATGTTCCTCCTCTTAGGGGAAAATCATTCCAGATCTTGACACTGAGCATGACATCAGACACAGGCTTCTGTGCCTGTTACCTCATGGAGGACATTCCTTTCCATTCCTTGCTTGCTGAGAATTTTCATAAGCGGGTTGAATGAGCTGAATTTTATCAAATGCTCTTTCTGCCTCTAGTAAGATGATTCTGTGGTGTTTTCCTTACTCTGCTAAGTACTAAATTACAATTAATCTTCAAACACTGAAGTAACTGTGTATTCCTGGAATAAACTCACTTGCTTGTGACATATTATGCTTCTTATATTTTGCTGGATTTAATTTGCTGTTATTTTGTGTTGGATTTTTGTATCTCTGCTCAAGAATGATATTGACTTATAATTTTCTTCTCCTCTTTCATTGTCATCAAAGTTTGATATCAGGCTTTTGATGGACTCCTAAGATGTGTTGGGAAGAGCTGTGTCTTTCATCTCTGAGACAGTGTGGTAAGTTTCATCTTGTTTCTCCCTCAAATGTTCAGTAGAATTTACCATTGAAGCTCTTTGAGCCTGGAGTTTATGTGAAAAGGCCTTTATTTACAGAGGCAATTTTAAAAAGTGATGGAGGGCTATTTACATGTTCTATTTATTTTGTGTCAGTTCTAGTTTTATATTCTATGGAGTTTATCTGTTTTGTCTAAGTTATTAAATTTCAAGCACAATGAGGTTCACAGTAGTACATACCCCCTCAATGTACAATGTCTTTTTTCCCCTCATTCCTGATACTAATATTTGATGTTTACTTTTTGGTCGTCTTTGCTCAATGGTAGGTGTTACAGTTTTCTATCCGTGCATAGCACATTGCCCCAAAATTTAGTAACATAAAACAATAGTGATTATTTCACTTTCCCATAGGTTGGCTGGTTACTTCCTCGTCTGGTTCCACCTGGGTCCCCCACATGGCCGCCTTCAGCAGGAGGGCCTGCAGGACTGGACATGGGCATTAGCCTCACTCACATGTTCAGCTCACGACACCAGCTCTCCACGGAGACCCCTCCATTCTCAGTCACATGGCCGCTCCTTCTCCTGTAGGTTGGACAAGCTTCCTGGTCTCAGGACAGTATTCAGAGAGGGCAAAGGCACAAGTCCCAGGGCAACCTGAGTCCTAGGCTCTAAATTCATGCAGTATCACTTCTGCCACATTCCGTTGCCCAAGGCAAAATCACCAGGCCAGCCCCAATTTAATACGGTTGAGAGATATATGGCAGACAGGGCAAAATTTTATTGCAGAGAAACATACCTTCTGCGAAGAAGGAATTCATGGCCATGGTTTCAATCTGTCGCATTCCACAATCTGGCCACAAACTGTGTTCTTCCTACACACGCCATATTCTTTCTCCCATCTCGGGATGCCCAAAACACTTATCCCAGTTAGGACATCAGACTCAGAGGCCAGGTTCCCATGATCTACATCAGGTCCATCTGGAGATCCACACACCCCTCCTCTGGTGTGACTCCTCAATCCAGAGATCTCTGAGCTAACCAAATCACCCCACAAACAGGGCCAGCATGAACATGGGGCCAGTTGCTCCCATCAAAAAAAAAAAGAGGAACATGAGGCACTTGGAAGTCCCTGGTCCTTACCAATTCTGAGATCCAGATGGACCAGGCTGTCAGAGGCCCCAACTGCAGAGGCAGGAGATACTCCTTGATTAAGGCCCATTTCTGCTCCCAGGAAGGATTTCCTAGTTCCCTGTTCTGTCCATTGTTCTCGTGTTCTGCTCACTGGAGGTCCTTTCTTTTCCATCACGAAGGACCCATGTTTGAAGATCAGTAGCTCTCTGCATCTGATTCTGATAGAGCTGGAGGCCCACAAGCATCTTTTCCTTTGGTGTTTGCCCTTTTTGGTCCAAGCTGCTAGTGTTCTCATTAGTATTATTCTCTTAGAAGTATTGTAGGTCTCCTAGGAATCTTGTTGGAATTTCCTCTATTCCCCCCAAAGTCATTCTGTCCAAGACGAACCTGCCTCTACTTTGGGTATTATCAGGCTTCTGTGAGCTTCTACGAGCCAGTGCTTAGAGTCTGGGGAGCCCTCTTTCCCTTGTTGAGAAAGTCTGTGAGGCACTGCTTCCTATCTTTCTGGGGCTTTATGGTCATATTCTCGATTCAGGCTCTACTCTGAGTCCATTTCTTGCTTTAGGAATATTTAGCTGACTGTTGAAACTGAAAATGTGAAGTACATTTATTTTTTGAACTCAGTAGGTAATCCTGATGTACTTATATTCTTTCAATCCCACTTGCAGACACCAGTTGGGTTTGGGGGGGGGTTCTCAGTGGGGGGCCATTGGGTTTGTTTTTTGTTTTTTAGCTCCTCTCTGTCTTCCACATCTCACCCTGCATAGCTGTAGGCGGCTAACTGGTACTCCCAGAAGCCTACCTAGGAATGCTTTTACCCATGTTTACAAGCTTAGGCACGTTTCCTATTTTCCACGTTAACTGCCAATGAGAGTCTTGCCGCTCATTCTGCCACTACCTGGTTCAGGCCACGCTGCGGCTCTCCCGGCCACTCCTCACTGCTCATCCCCCTCTGCGCGTCTCCTCAGTACCTTTCAGCCCCACCTGCTGCCTAAAACCAGTTCTTTGTGCTCTAGATTCTTGCGGGGTGGCACCCCACAGAAACTTCCAGTAGTGATGATTGATTTCTCATGTTTCTGGGGCCGGGCTGGGCTGTTCCTCACTCATGTGGTCCATCCAGCCGAAGGGGCAGATGGTCCCGGGTAGCCTGGTACACGTGTCCAGTGTTTGCTGCTCACTGTCAATGGGCGCACCTATGTTCTCTCCCACCTGACCCCCCACTGCCAACTACTCCAGAGGCTTCCTCACATGGCAGCCTTGGGCCTGTGTAGCGAATGGGCGAGGACAGAGGCTGCACACACTAGAGGCCCACGAGCTCGCACAACCTCACATCCACCATGTTCTGTTATTGGTCAAAGTCATAGGGTGGCTCGTTTCAGGAGACGGGGATGTAGGCCCCACTGCGTGATGATGTCGGGGGAAGTCACACTGCAGAGGAGCATGGGAAGACTGCTTGTGACAGTCAGGAAACAGCCTGTCACGCGAAGTGTGTCTCAAGCTCATTGATCTTTTCAGGGCCTAGTGGGTCTTCGACATCACCGTGCTTATTCCGCCTACTTCGCCCGCACTGGGACCATGTTCCAGAATGTGCAGGGCAGAGGTCACTTCCAAAGGATGCCTTCTCCCTGCGTGAGGCTCAGAGTGGTAAGGGTTGGCACCTTGCAAATATACAATTCTGCAGAGGAAATACCAAACCCCTTTTGCTTGGGGTTTCATGCCCGAAGCAGCACAGGCAGGGAGCATTTTGGGGAACACAGCCTGTGCTCATTCTGTGCAGACTAGCAGCTCGCTGCCCACTCTTGCTTCTCCCTCCACGGACCCCATTCCCAGCACATGCCCGCTCTCCTCCCCGTGTCCTCCCTCCCTGTGCTGCTACTTAAGGGAACTCCTGAAAATCGAATAGCAACACATCTTGTAAGGGCCCTTCCTGAGATGGAGCCTGCAGCACGCAAGGGAGGAGGCTGTTCAGAGTTGCTGTGGTCCTCGGGGGCCTGGTCCTGCAGCGCCCTGTGAAAAAGGCCTGGACGGGGCGCATGGGGGCAGCCCGGGGGCAGCCAACCCACCGGAGCCTCTGCGGCCTCTGCATTCACAGCTGCTCTTGCCTTCCTCAGGAGGTAGAGGCCGGTCCCCCAGGGGGGTGCCAGGCCCCTCAGGGCCCTTGGCCAGGTGTCCAGGGTGCCAGGTCAGCCAGGCAGACAGGGCAGGGCCAGTGCCGCATCAGCTAGACTTTATGTCTTCTGTCTCCTGACCCCGCGTCTTCTTGTTTCTCTCTTCAGAACCCCCTCTGTCTTGTTACCCAAGGTAAGAAAAAGGCAGCTGTTTGCAGACTCTACTCTGCTCACTCGGGCTTCCTAGACTCCACCAGCTTCTGTTTCCTGGGCTCTGGGTGTAGTGGGGGTGGGGGATCCTAAGAACAGAGCAAGGTCACTTAATACCAGTCTTGGTTAAGTTGCCTCTCTGCCAGATATGAAATGGGCTCCTCAGCATCCTTGCTCATCAGTGAATCTTTTTTAAAGATTTTATTTCTTAAAAAAAAAAAAAGAATTTTATTTCTTTAAGAAAGAGAGAGAGGGGTGTATGCGTGCGCGTGCGCACACACGGGGAGATTGGGAGAAGCAGGCTCCCCACTGAGCAGGGAGCCCAATGCAGGTCTCAATCTCAGGGCCCCAGGATCATGACCTGAGCTGAAGGCAGATGCTTCACCGACAGAGCCCCCCAGGCGCCCTGCTCATGATGAGGGTGCAGCTCAGCCTCGTGTTGGTGCACTGAATGCCGAGCTGGATCACGGGCCTCACAGACACCTGCACACCTCAAGGGAAAGCTGCCCTATGAGCCAAGGGGCTGGTGACCCAAAAAACCCCTCCACAGACTTGCACACCCTCTGCCCTCCCCACCCCTGGGTAGCCAGGCCCAACCCCCTGGGCTCTAGACGGCGTGGTCACAGCGAGGGCTGGGGCGAGGTCTGGTCCCCGTGTCTGTGGGACATGGAATCGGGTCCTCCAGCCCAGCAGCCCGGGCTGAAAGCTGCTGTGAAAACCTGCATTCTTCAAAACTGTCAGTGTCCGAGAAGACGGGATGTTCAGGTGACCGGAGCCTGAAGAACACGGCACCGAAGGGCAGCCCCTGCCCTAGACCAGACCCCGCAGCGGAGGGGAAGGTGCTACATGGGACGGGACATGCGGGCGAAGGAGACCCCGTGTCAGAGCGACGCTCACGGAGGCTGCGAGCTGGCAGGTCCACCAGCCCCGAGAAGCACCTGTGGAAGTACCTGGGGACCAAGAGCCAGGGTGGGTTCAGCGTCCTCCCAAGCAGTTGGGGAAACAGCCGTGGGCAGGCAGGTCAGTAATGATGCCGTTGGCGGCCGGGACTCCGGGGGAAGGAGTGTGGAGCGTTGTCTACACTCTTCTGCCAGCTCTCCTGTTAGTTTGAAATTATTTCCAAGGAGAAAGTTGTTAGAAAGCGGTTTTGTTTGCAGAAAGTGGTTTCAGTGGGTGTGGAGGAGGGCTTCCCTAGCAGGCCCCGGGCACCCCGGCAGTGCCAGGCCAGGGCGGGGGCGCCGGGGCAGGCGAATCTGCAGGCCGCTCCGAGTCCTTCCCTGAAAGCAAGCGCGCCCACCCTCCGTGTGCACGCCCTGACCTCTAAATTTCAGTTTTCCAGCTAAGGCTACGGCAAGCTATTGAGCGGAGTGGGGCAAAGTGTCTTCCTTAAGCGTCTGGAAGTGGGGGCGGCTGAGTACCTGTTGTCTCTCCCCATTTGCTCCGAAGCCCTCAGATGCCCTTAGTGTTTGGATTGATTCTCCTCATTGGGCCTGTCTTCAATTTGGTTTCAGGCACTTTCCAATAAGTGCATGGAGT